TTGGGGTTCGGTGTGTTGATGCGATGCAAGCTACCTAACCACACACTAGCACACCATTTCTGTGAAAGTGGTTCATTGAGACATGCTCACCATTTTTCTTACAACATGTAACTTCTAATTTCATGTCCATCCTATAGCTACTACGCTTATTTTTAGCCAGTAAACCACCTTGCTTCGGCTACAAAAATAGTCCACCAGTGTCACCAAAGACACAACAAAGGCGACTGGTACTAGCATGCATAGTGTGGGTGAGAAGGATGTCCTTTAAGAGAATGGGAGGCGTGGTGGGAATTTCAGTTGCTCAAACACTTGTGTTCCCAAAGATTGACAGATTTCAGCCCTAGAATCCTCTTAACTGGGGGTACTTTTTACGAAGAGTTCCGCAATTATTTGACCACTTAAGTGTGAAACCACTTATAACAAGGACCCTATGTTTTTTTTTTTTTTTTTTACACGGGGATTAGCCCACCCGGGCACAGGTCACTGACCCAAATTGGGGCCTGGGGGGCGAAAATGTAATAATAATAATAATACTGTAATAATAATAATAATAATAATAATAATAATAATAATAATAATAATAATATTATTATTATTATTATTAATAATAATACTGTAATAATAATAATAATAATAATAAATAATAATCATAATAATTCATAGTAAATAAAATTTATGATAAAACAAACAAAAATAAAGTAATAAAATAATGATGATAATAATACAGTAACTGTAATAATAATAATAATATTAATAATAAAGAACTATAAATACAAAAATTAAAAAAAGATCAAAAGTGAGAAACGATATATGTATGTTGTGTTGTCAATGATAAGAGAAACAATTGAGACCCTGCAATTGCGTGTAAATGAAGCAGAAAGTCAGATCAGCAACCTGGGACTTGGTCACAATTTTCGTGATGCCATATGGCAGCAGGGTTTATCATTAGACAACACATTATGCTTCCAATATCTTCCCAGGCGGTAGTACCTCCCTGTTTGGTAGCTGCCTACTACCTACTACTTTTATTTACTGTATTTTATCATTCTATTTCTTCTTTTGTCTTAAATTAATTGATTTTAGATGAACTGTACATAAGGACTTGGGCTATGTTATACGTAGTGGGATTTTAAACATTGTTCTGTAAATACGGTATGCACATGTGTTCCGACTTACGTACAAATCTGACTTAACTCTTAGGCCCCGGGTGACGTTCCAGACCGTCTGCCTATTCCTGCCCCCCCTCTCCCTTTTGTAAAATTATTTTGGGAAAGGTTGATTTTTTTTCTCAATTTATCCCTGCTGGGAGTACTGCCAGCAGCACCCTAACCCAGGGCTTAAGGGTTAAGAACATCCTCAGGAATGGATCCTGTTCGTAACACGGGGTCCCCCTGTATTATCATTTTAATAATGTACCTGTAATGCAATATTATTATATTACTCGTACATTGCATGTGCATTACACAAAGCTTCCCTCAGGCACCTATGTGGCTTCAGTAGCAGTACTGTGTTAAAACTTGCCCAGTTTTTGTTAGTCATAGCTTCCAAGGAGCCTTCTGTTAGTATTATTCTTAAGAAGGGTGTTCAGTTTTATCATGTTTGGCTTCCTACTACCTATATACAGTAGTACCAAATATCAAAATACATCTCATAAAAATCTCCAATTTCTCTTGAATTGTGAGTAGAGTTGTGGCAAAAATTTTAAATTGTGTGATACTATAATTCAATATTTCAAGATAATTCAATTGACCCAGAGCTCTGATGATACAGTATTGAATCAGGGAAGGTTCAGTATCATTATTATTACATTACAGTATTATTATGACTGTACATTATTATTATTATTATTATTACAGTATTACTATTATTATTATTTTAATGATATTCAATACCCTTCAGTTAATATTCTTTAGACTTCCTGAGAAATTTTCTCAGTGTCTAAACTTCATAAGAATTAGGAAAATTCCTTTGAAGTGTAAACACTGCCTGGGACAAGGCACAGGACGAGGGACCCCAGCACATAGAAGTTTCAGACATATTTTAAAAATGCCAATATGCAAACACTGTACTTCAATTTGACAGGCAATTGGTGTCTGATAAAGCCATTTTCCGATATACTGTAGACCGGTGAGCCTGACCAGCAGGCTCTGACCAGCTGGTAGGTAGTAAGTATTAGGCAGCTACCAAACAGGGAGGTACTACCGCCTGGGAAGATATTGCAATCATAATGTGTTGTCTATGGTAGACCCTGCTGCCACATGGCATCACAAACATTGTGACCAAGTCTCAGGTTGCTGATCTGACTTTCTGCCTCATTTACACACAATTGCAGGGTCTCAATTGTTTCACTTACTATTGACAACACAACGTATATTGTTTCTCACTTTTTATATTTTTTTAATTTTTGTATTTCTTTATGGTTCTTTATTATTATTATTTTTATTATTACATTTTTGCCCCCCAGGCCCTGATGTGGGTCAGTGACCTGTGCCCGAGTCGGGTTATCCCCGTAAAAAAATAAAAAATAAAAAAATGTGTAAAGTACTTGAGAGTATTATCAGAGATGCCGCGATGGAACATCTACTATGAAACAACCCTGTAAAGGATTGCCAACACGGTTTTATGCCGGGGCACTCCTGCTTAACACAATTGCTCAAGGTATTGGATATTTGGACCCATATTCTGGAATGGGGTGGTAATATCGACAATATTTACCTAGATTTTGCCAAGGCTTTCGACAGTGTACCCCATGGAAGGCTGAAAATCAAACTGGAAGGGTACGGAATTCGGGGGAAATGTCCTAGCGTGGATAGAAGACTTTCTACATGACCGCAAGCAGTGTGTGGTGATTAATGGCACGAAATCATCATCTGTACCTGTCACAAGCAGGGTATCACAGGGCAGTGTATTGGGTCCGCTGTTGTTTGTTTGTTTGCTTGTTTCATAAATGACATGCCTGACGTTATTCACTCCTCCATACAAATGTTTGCCGATGATGCCAAGTTATTTCGGGAAATCAAGAACCAAGCGGACTGTGAAGAGCTGCAGAAGGACCTCTGTGGGCTCGAAGAATGGTCGAAGAAATGGCTGCTGAGATTCAATGTCACGAAGTGTGAGAGGATGCACCTGGGGCGTACCAACGGTAAGGAGGCGTATCATATGTCCCAACAGGATGAAGAAACTGCACTATTTGAGACTGAATGTGAGAAGGACCTTGGTGTGTAAGTTGACAATGAGTTGAAGTTCTCGGGCTATTGCGAGAAGAAGGTAAATCAGGCAAATAAATTATTGGGTCTTATAAGAAGGTCGTCCAGATATTTAGATGGTCCATCCCTCGTAACGATCTTCAAGAGTGAAGTGCTTTCCCATCTGGAGTACTGTTACCTCGTCTGGTCCCCGAGATATGCTTGGGACTGTCAGTTGGTTGAAAATGTTCAAAGGAGGGCCACCAGACTGGTGCCTGCACTTCGGCACCTCAGCTACCCTGAGAGGTTGGAGTGCCTGAACTTGCCTAGCTTATACTACAGACGGGCAAGGGATGACCAAATTGAGGTGTATAAGCATCTCAATTGGCACTACTCAGTTGAGTGTCCTTACTTGGAGCTGGCGGACGCTCGCCCCACAAGGGGTCACAGCTCAAGATTGAAGAAGCCGCAAGTCCAGAAAACTGTGAGGGCAAACTTTTCCGGAGTGAGAGTTGTGAACTCTTGGAACATTCTACCAGATAGTGTTGTGATGGCACCGAGTGTGAGGTCTTTCAAGACAAGACTTGACCAACACTGGAGCAGGTTCAGGTACATTCAGGAGCCGGTGCATGCCCAGTACTTGCCAACAGTGCGTAACAGAGACGTGACTGATCGCCCAAGTGGCTAACGAGCCGATCATTTGGTGAAGAGGATAAAAGAAAAGGAAGCGTAAAAAGAGAGAAACTTTAGAGTACAAGAACAGAACAAAGGACGTGTAAAGATTAATATACAGCCGAGGCAATAAAGCTCCTCCCCGACTTACGACCTACTCAACTTACGTCCACTCGCACTTACGACCTGCCTCAGTCGTACCAAAATTTGGTCAAATTACGTATTTTCGAGTCCCAAAGTCAGTACACAGACAAAATTTTCAGCTGTAATTCACTTTAAAATGGCTGGCAAGCTTAAAAGTGAGTGTTTTGTGGTGCTGAGAAGAAAAAGGGACCCCCATTTTCGATTTCTATGTATTATTTAAGCATTTCCGACTTACGACCTGGATGTCGGTCCCTAACCCCGTCGTAAGTCGGGGAGCAGCTGTATTGCTAAAGATTGTAGTTGACATCTACCATGCAGAGAGAACGAATCTTTTGATGAGAGGTTGACAAACTTATACTAGTGATTATGGAAAGATTGAATACCAGGTACCTGTACAGGTATTGAAATATTTTTTACAACACATACAAGTACTGTACTGTATAACATGAAGGTTAACAAAGCACTTTGTGCCATGTGGGGCTACTGTACAGTATTGTATGTGTTACGGGGGAGGCATCTAAGTTCTAGAAAGAATGGAGGTTGCAAAGATTTCTTTTTATACTGGAAAAAAATGTATATGGGCCCAAACAGAAAACAAATATCCACTGCTTCTATAATAGCTAAACTAAGATTTAAATTCTTTGCAAAAACTGTATAAAAAAAAATTTTCTTTTAAATCTTTTAACAATCAGTTGGTAATGATTGAACATATTGAATGCAATGCTTGGTTAGAAATCTGCATGTTGAATCCATAATGACAAGTATGGTAAGATGCATACATCTGGATATTGTTCATCTATGAGCAGTACTTGACACAAATCTGGTGGTAATATTATTACTGTCAACCTTAGGGCGAGCTTTCTCTTACTGCTTGGTACTGTATGATGCCATCCTAGCCACGGGGAGGTACCTTCTGCTCAGCTTTTAGATATGTATGGATATGAAATCTAAAATATTATTTATCTGTTTATTAACATATTTCTGTAATTTTACTTCTAGGCTTTTCATCATAATTTTAGTTGCGTTTTCCATTATGTGGATTCCCATTATCGAGCGGACTCAGGGCGGACAACTGTACATCTACATCCAAGCAATTGCTGCTTACTTGGCCCCTCCCATTGCAGCCATCTACTGTTTGGCTATAATATGGAAAAGAATTAATGAGTCAGTAAGTGTCAATTCACTTGTTTCTCCTATTATGGTAAACACTGTACTGTACAATGTAATAAAAGTTTAGTAGTAAATTGTTACTCTCAAAAAACATTATATGCTGTTGGCAAAGAGTGTTGTAGAGCTTATTGTTGTTGAGGATATAAGGAAGGTGTGTGTGTGCAGTATTTTTACTTGCTGTTACAAACTTTTCCTGTTATCGTTTACTTTCCTTGCAAAACTCTCTCTACTTCCAGTTTCTTTAATTCACCAAGTTTGCTTCCCCTGTTTCACCCATCAACATCAATGTTTCATGGCTATTTTCCATGCTTGCACAGATTAGGTGCAATTATCTGATGGCAGCTGTCCATGCTGCATGGTCTGCCAGGGTCTTAATTCCAATGTCATTTCTTACACTCTCCATGTCATTCTTGGCTTACCTCTGGCTTGCTTTCCTCCCTTCCACATTTAGGCTTGAGCACCTCTTCACCCAAATGGTTTCACCATTCTCTCCACATGTCCAACCATCTTGGTCTGCCTCTATGCATAAGTTCGTCAATGCTGTACTCTCAGTACTTCCTTATATTTCATCCTACATGATACTTTGACAAGCTTGAAGTTGTCTTGTGTTGGTAACATTCATTTCAAATACAAGTATAGTACTTGATCTGGGTTTACTCCTTCCATCCCTTTCCAGATTTTGAATGTCTCTATGAAATCCATCCTATTGTGTCTTGTCTGATGAGTTGTTAGTCATAAGGCCCTCGGTTGACTTAGATAATTGAGAAAATTTAGTTCAGGAATAATCCAAGTCACTCTGCATTGCAACTTTTCTAGGGACGTTGTGTCTTTCTGGAGGTATGGTTTCCATGCCTGTATACAATAATCCAAATACCCGTAGGGTTGTATGAGCGACTTATAAAGTTGAAGGAGTATTTTCTAATTTTGTATCTGAAGGTATGATTTATAACTTCTAAAAGTTTGGTTGCCTTTCTTTCACCAGTTACTGGAATGTTGGTTGATCATTTCTTTTTCATATGCTCTCTGTTAACACACACAGTCATCATAAGCTTATGCCTTTTCATTTATGTCCAGATTTAAAATGCTTGGATTCACTTGTTTAAGTAGGGTACAATACCCTGTGATGTCACAACCAAAACAATACCACCAAAGACTACAGTCCTCAGATTATTAATTGATTTATCTTCCCTCTGCATGAATGTAGGTTGCTATGCTAAAATTTCATGAGGCAGGATGGTCAAGACAGTCGAGTACAAGTCAATGTAATATAGATTATGAGATGTAGCAACATAATGGTGTGTAGGGGTGGGGATGAGTGGTGGGTTTGAGAGCTTTATCTTGGAGATTATTATTTTTTTTTCATTCTACAGGTCCACAGTTTGTTTAGTAAGTAACAATGTTATAAAGTGTATTTTATGCCACTTAAACACCTTTCTAATTACTGTACTGATGTTATAATTTCCACAAACAAACAATAAATTACTTGAACAACATCACAGGAGTAATTTTGGGTATTAAGTGTATGGTACTGTACTGCAGAGGGTAGAAATTGTGTGTATTCTCAATTCAGTGAGCAGCAATGGCTAATCACACTGAAAATTCATAGACTGGGCAGGACTTACAGTACAGTATAATTATATAGTACAGTTTTAATATATCCTTCCTGTAACAAATCATCAATATTTAATAAAAAAAAAATTTTGATGAATGGTATTAATGTATTTTAGCCTTTCATTGTCTTACCAAAACATAAGTTAACCCCATAATTTTCAGCTCACCAACTAAGTGATGTTAACTAAATTCCTAGTACTACTGTATATAATATATTATTTTTGTTTTATCCAACAGGGTGCATTTTGGAGTTTAATCACTGGCTTCGTAATAGGATTGGTTCGTATGATTTTGGACTTCTTCTATGGTGAACCATCCTGTAGTGAGGAAGATTACAGGCCTCTGATTCTGCAAAAGGTGAGTAACTTTTCATTATGTGCACTCACTCTAAAAAGTATCCTTACCATTTTGTGCGAGATAATATGACACAACGGACGAAGGATTTTGACAACTCTACTGAGACAACAGGAGCTGTGGTGCTCATTTTGAAATTCAATGACCCCCCCCCACCCCAGTAAAGATAGTTTTTGAGTGACTACATATACAACATAATACGGGGTCATTTTTTTATTCAAGAACCCCAAATGATTACTATATTTTAGGATGCACAATAAACAGGAATGTAAAAATCGGTAGGAATACAGTCTGATAATTATGAAAAACACCTATGATCAAACTTTATTCCTACTGATTTTTAGGTTCCTGTTTGCTACATGTCCTGAAATATAGTAATCATTTAGGATTCTCTAATAAATTACCCTGTACAGTACAGTGCTGTATGTAATGATTGTTTATCAGACCACAGCTTACAGCCCAAAGAAATACAATACAATACAGTACGTAGATGCCCACGTGGTAACCCACATACGTACTGTAGGTTGATACACCCTACAGTGACCGTAAGACCTGACCCAGGAGAGGTCACGAACAAGGTACCTAATTTAACCCGGCGTTATGACCATGTTACTCAAGAAACTACACCTGGACAAGCTGTCCAGACCTGACCCAAGAGAGGTTAGTCTCATTGACCCAGAGTTCTCACCACCACGCGATTAGCTTAACCGGGCGACATGACCGTGTTACTCAAGAAGCTACCCTCCAGCGAGTACACCTGTCACCTGACAAGACGCACCCAGATTGTGACGACACCTTCCGGCTGGAGATAGTCAATATATAGGCCCTGCAGCTCCCTCTCAGGACAGTCGCATTCGGGTTATTATTGTAATAGAGAGGGAGCCGACAGCTCCCCAAAGGGAGACTTCCCTCCCCAGCACCGCCTCTCCAGCTAAGCAGTCTCCCACAGGAGACATAGTTCAGCACTCCCTTCAACAGCACCTGCTGGGCCTCCCTCAGGTCACATGTGAGTCTTTGTCAGAGCGATCCAGGGGTGAGTTACTTACGGTGGGAAGTGTATCTATTTCATGTTTGTGTCCTAGAGTCAGTGTCTAGTAACTTCGATATCTGTATTGATCTATTAATGTGTCCATGCCATTCAGTTAATTAATAAATAGTTGTACAGTATTGAAAGTGGTGTTTAGAAAGATTCCCCCTACGAATATAATATACAGTTAAATAACTAACCGGCCAAGCTACCAAACTCCCTCACTTTATATTCCTACAAATATAAATATTCTACTTATATCTTCTTAACGAGTTTTGACTTGTTATATGTATATACATTCCTCACTTGGTCTAAACGTTTTTGGTATAATTATTTTTGCAGGTGAACAAATTACTGTACTTCTTAAAACCAAAAACTCAATGTATTACAGGTGTTGTTTACATTGAGTGAGCTGTCAGGAGAGTCATTTTACCCTTTCTAAGTTCCTAGTCAAGTTTAAGGCTATGGTGGCATCTCATAGATACGTGTCACAGCAGATATTTAATGCAGATGAAAATGATTTATTTCAAAAGAAGAGACTGTTTTAGGCTTTCAGGCAGCAAAAGATAGGCTAACACTAGCTATGTGGCTACTCTAAAGGTGATTTATTTAAGTGTAAGACTATTACTAATGTGCCACTCCCAGAATCCTTAACCCCTTGACTATAGGGACACTATTTTTAATATTGTATTTGTCTAATGCCAGATGATTTTATTCAACTCAAGAGAAAATCCCATACACAAGGGATTAAAAGGTCTTGGTCAGTGTGTCTTGCCAGTTTACTAGGGAAAAAGGAAGAAAATTAGTGTATGAGCTGTGTCTGTGTCAAGGTACAGCAATACTGTACTGTCCTGGGTTTAACATCACTCTGAATTTTTCTCATCATCATTACTGTTTTACAGCCATTTTCAACACTCATGTCGTTTAGCACTTGACACCCTGAATCATCTGCACCCTTATGGTAGATTGTTTCTGTTACACAACACCATCTATTTAATCCAGCCAATGGTTCAGGGTATCATAGTAAAGTTTATGAACTGTACTATATGGAATAAACTTCCACTTACTGAATGCTATTGAAGGACTGGACAAGCCAGTCACAAAATAATTTATTCGGTAGAAAGCTATACTGTGCTGATCAATGCAACTTTGACTCTTTTGCAGTTCCACTTCATGTACTTTGCAACATTCTTGTTCTGGTTGACTGTTCTGATAGCCTTCATTGTTAGCATGATCACCAAGCCCCCTCCAAGCTGGATGGTAAGTACTTTTGCTATCATGCACTGGTTTTCTCTTTACACCACAGTCATATTAGTTGTTTACATATTCACAAAATGTTAAACAGTAAACAAACCCCAATGATAAACACAGCACATTACTCTACGATATTTCTTACGAGCCTTTAACATACTGCATAAATAGCTCAAATTAATTTTGTAGGCAATACAGAAAAGTACAGCAATTATGAATGGGTTTTGTTCATATCTCTGAAAGTTCATAAGTTGAATGCTTTAATAAATACTGTACTGATAATGATTTTATTTCTTATGACAGCTAATTCGAACAACATTCTTCACTCGCTATGACCAAACTGACCGTGAAGATGATATTGAGCTGAGGGAGAAGGCTCAGAATGAACTTCTGCAAGACAGATCACAAGATCCAGGTAAACAAGTGTTTTGCTTTTTTACTGTTCACACCTTATTAATAGTCAGTGTTTTTAGTTATAACTACAGTTGAAATAGTATACTGTACAGTATAAATATGTGTATAACATAATAAAACTGGCAAGAAAAGGGTAACAGGAAGCACCTCAAACTCCCAAGTGTTTCATAATCCCAAAAGGAACTAACCATAAGCTCCATATGGTTACACAGTCCTGGGGTGCTTGGCTGATAACAGCAAAATTTGTCTATACAGTACTGCACCTATACCATTATCTGCAGGATGAACTTAAGATACCTGCCATCCATAACAGACACCCATAACACACTCACTTAGTTCCTGTGTCTGCTGAATGCAGTTGGGTTTATAAATATTTCCCACTAAGGTGTTCTGCAAGAGGTTACGGATGATTACCATTTTTAGTAAACTAAATGTCATCAAATACAGTAATCAACAGCTTAACATGTTCCACATACTGTACTGTATTGGGTAAAATATGTACTGTAGAAAGTTCAAAATATTTACAGTCTCTCCTTGACCTACGACAACCCGGACATACGACGGCCATGGTCGTATAAAATATTTTTCAAATTACGTATTTTCGAGTCCTGGCGTTAGTGATCGCGCTGTGTACTGACAAAATTTTCGTTTGTAATTCCCTTTGAAATGGCTGGCAAGCATAAAAGTGAGAGTTCTCGTGGTACTGAGCAGAAAAAGAGACACCCATTTTAGAATTTCTATGTATTATTTTCGCCTTTTCGACTTACTACCTGGTCGTCGGGAAGGAACCCGTTGTAATCGAGGAGAGACTGTAATGTACAGTGGTCCCTCGGTTAACGAGCGCCTCGGTTAACGAGATTTCGGTTAACGATTTACCTTCCATAAGATTCTTAACTTCGGTTAACGAGCAATCCCTCGATTAACGAGTTTTTTACGAGCCGACTTCAACATGTTTTCGCTTGCATTTGGCGGTCCACCAGCTGTAGTATTAGTCCGCCAATACAGTAATCAGTTTTAGGGCTTAAATTCCTTACTATTTTAGTAAATATCAAGAAGTTTATACTATTCAATAATTTTAAAAGTTTAATATTAATTTTTTTTAGTCATTTTAACAATTATTGAACATAATTGAAGGTAAAGAAACTAGTTTCTGGCGTGCCATCCAGCCTGTTAACACACCAGACAGGCGTTAGTCTCTCTCTCTGTTTTCAGTGGAGGTAACATCTTGCTTGAGACTCTCTTCAACTAAACGCTTTTTTTCTGTGTTTCCAAGCAAATTATTGGTCGTTTTGAAATATATTTTACATATTGACAATATATAATGCAGTGCAGTGTTGATTTAAAGAAAATAATCTTGAATTACACCAAGAGAACTAAAATTTTATGGGTGAAATGGTGCCATGGGGTGACTTCTCTTCCACCCTAATGCCTTCTCTTCTTCCTTCTCCTCCACCCCCATTCTAATTCCCATCATCATCATCATCATCATCCAGGAGCCTTCTACATACACACCTCAAAGTAAGTGTACTTTTCTACCTTTTTTGTTGAATTTAGGCAATTTTCGGTGAGCTGGAACCAATTACCCAAAAACCCATTGAAACAATGGTTTCGGTTAACGAGCAACCTGCTGGAACGGATTGTGCTCGTTAACCAAGGGACCACTGTATAGATAATGCCATTACTGCACCTGATTATACGGGCTAAAATTATATTACAGTACTGGGTATTAACATTGAGCAATGAGGGTAATATTGTTTACCCTATTATATACCGGTAATTGTCTAGCATCACAATTATGTAAGTCAGTACGAAAGTAATCCATTATTATTATTACCCTCAGATAACCATGAAGAAGTTCAGTGTAAGCTGTCGTGGTATGTACGAGCTTATAATTGGCTCCTGGGGTTTGATGACTCAGAAAAAGCACAGGTAATAAATGTGTGCAGTTATAGTATGTAAAGTATGATAGCCTTAATGCATATACGAATGAGATTGTTAGTTAGCACTTGTTTTATAATGGTATATTGTAGAGTACAAGGAAAACTAACTAACAGTGATCTCAAACAGTAACTTATCTCTCTCATTTCCACACACAGCAACAAGCACTAGCAATGAACGAGCACATTGCCCACTTGACCATCCTGCACCAAGAACCATGGGAAAATAATTTACTGAATGCTCTGCTGGTTGTCATCATTATTATCGCTCTAGTGTTTTATACGTTCTTCTCCATTAATCCATTCACTATTGAGGAAGTTCATGACATCCAGCATAATAAACTTCACAAATTAGGCTATGATAATATTTTGTAACACAAAAATTAAGTTCTTTTATAATGTAAAAATAATTATTACTGGGAATAATTCTTTGACTGACATTACACACAGACGAAACTAGATGTACCATACATTCTTTACTTTATTAGGGATGGCTGATTCCAAACACTGTGGTGCATATCTTTAAAAAAATCAAAAAATTTTTACATTCATTACTTTTCCAATACACTAATCAACTTCTCAAATCTAGGCTAATTCAGCCCAAGGTAGCCCAGATGAAGAGAAGTTGGGATTGAAATGATATTCCTTTGAAGCAGTCTATTATTGCTGCCACTTTCCCTCCCCTCCCCCCCCCCCCGAAAGAAACTAAATCATTGTACAGTATTGTATATGCCACAATGAGTGAACATCAAGTCAAGTGCTTGTCAACACAGAGTGACCATTAAATCATAAAGCAGAGAAATTTGACAGTTTACTGTATCTAGTACTACGGTACCAGTATTCTGCAGTCTCACTCGTGTCCAACCGCGTGAATTATATTTTTATTTTATTTTTATTTTTTTTTAATGGGCATTAGCCCACCCGGGCACAGGTAAATGACCCACGTCAGGACCTGGGGGCAAAAATTTAATAATAAATAATAATTATAATAATAATAATAATAATATCTATTATTATTATTATTACAACAATTAATAAAATTACAGTACTGTAATAGCAAATTGATACAACTAAAATAATAAAAACAATAACCATAAATAAATACAAAATTTAAAAAAATAAATCAAGAGTGAGAAATTATGTACATTATATATGTTGTGTTGTCCAAGTAAGAGAAACAATTGAGACCCTGCAATTGTGTGTAAATGAGGCAGAAAGTCAGATCAGCAACCTGGGACTTAGTCACAATTTTCGTGATGCCATATGGCAGCAGGGTCTACCATTAGACAACACATTATGATTCCAATATTTTCCCAGGCGGTAGTACCTCCCTGTTTGGTAGCTGCCTATCTACCTACGTGTGTTCCTGACTTTTCTTACACGCTATGTGGTTGTCCAGACTGCTCCAGGTGGTCTGGTTTGGGGCAAAATCCAGTTTCAAGGAGTTTCAGTGATGCTACCATACAATTTTTTTTAATTATTTTCCATATATACATACTGTTTACATGGGAATGCACTTACATATTCAGAAGCATTTCACTAATATTGAGACAAATATCAGTTTTTCTCAGTGTGTGTGTACTGTATATCTAAATTTATGGTACAGTTTATCCTCTCCTGCACATTTTATTAACTAATATCAATATTGTATAAATTACTTTATTTTTGTTCAATCCAGAATGCGACGCCTAGCTTATACCTAGGTATGTTAATGCCTAGCAATAATTTGCCAGGTCAACATACAGGCAATTAAAACATCTAATAATTACTTAATAAGAAATATTAGAACACGTCGCTACCTGGCATTTAATATACATGTAAATAGCTTATACAGTATTAATGTAGGCAATGGAGTACTGTACAGGTTTGTTTGTATTGCTGAAAGTTTGTAAGTAGAGGAGCACCTTTAGCCAGCTTATTGCTTTAAAGGGGAGGTGGGTGGATATGTGAAGGCCAAGTCATGTGGAGCTTATTGAGCACTAAATATAAAACAGTAGCTATATGGCAACTTATGTAGGCAAGCTTGATGTTGCTTTTGCTTAGATTTGCATAAGACAAGGAACAACTGCACTGAGAGACGGGAAGTGGTGCACAACATGAATTAACACTTTCACCCGAGTGAGACCAAGTTTATTTTTCACACAATGAGTTTCTGGTGGGAAAAAAAAGGTTCTTTCATATAGCCAAATTTGCATATGTGTACTGTACTGAGAAGGTAACGAACTACTTACCAAAAGCTCTAAATGATGTGATTAACCTCTCATTAGCAGGTTGCATCACTTTAAGCCTGAGAAGTCCCAGATCCCCTCCCATTGGCTTGTACCAGGCACAGCTAACTTATGTTCATAGAGAACTTGCTAACCCTGCAGCTTTATTAACCCCTTCACTGCGGTGGCACCACTTTTAATATTTTATTTGGCTAATGTTAGATTATTTTCCTCAGCTCAGAGGGGACCCCCATACACAAGGGGGTTAAACCAAAATGTACAGACCCAATTTTTTATAATGCAGTTGGTGTCACTGACTAGAGAGAAGACGAGATTTATCCAACTGTCGATAGTGCAAAAGGGTTAAGGTGTGTAAGGAGGGTAAACTTTTACCTCATCTAACGTACATAGCTTACTGGCTCAACTACATCTTTGTTGTTAAAATACTAAATACTGCACAGTACTATTGATGAAAATGAAAAAAAAATGATAAAAATACAACACTGTATAGTAAATAGTGTGTTGACTTTATCAGCGGACTTGTACACAGTTCATCATAATTTGTAATCTGCCTTATTTTGGCAAGGGTAGAGCCCCAATTATGGAGAAGTCACTGTATTTTTGAACTACTGTATCTACACCCCCTCCCCCTCATATTGCATAGTTCAGCATGGGCAATTATTTTCAGTAAAAGTATTTTATTGCAATAATGTATCATACTGCTCCACTAATCTTCTGAAACCTGTTACATAATACAATTTACTTCACTTGAAAAAATTTACCAAATTCTGTTAAGAGCAAAAAGATCTGCTAAATGAGAATACACTAGAGGAAGACTACTTAACTAGGGTTGCCATACGTCCGTATTTTCCCGGACATGTCCTCCATTTAGGTCTCGAAATCTTCATCCGGAAGTAATTTTTTAAATTCTTCAAAAGTCCGGAATTTCAGCTTCCACCATTTTCTCCACGGAAAGAAACATGAAATTGTAATGACGAGAGAGAGAGACTGTGAGAGAGTGGAGGTGGAAACAGTAGCGATCTTGTTCAGTTTTCGTCAGCTGATAAGTCACGTGTACGCCTGTACGGTGTTGTCAACTTAGCTGCTAGCAGTTTTTGGGGTAAACTGGAGTGCCATGTACTGCTTTTCCTTGTTCTTCAGCCATGCGCATTATTATAATTTAGTTCTTTGTATTTAGTGCTATCACAGCCATAAACGAAATGATGAAAGTACAGTATACCATTTTTCATTATGGCTTTTTTTACACTGTAGCATTTGTTTTTCTCGTCCTGCATTTAAGGCATTTTAGCGATTTTCAACCATAATCAAGCCACTTTCACTATATTATTTAGGTGTGTCGACAACTATGACGGTGACCGGTGGTTGGTCAGTCTTTAACCTGCAGTGACAGTGTTTGATCTTAGTCTTTGTTGTGAGTATGTCGCTTGGTGCCAGAGCTAGTGCTTACGATTTGTTGTACTTTTCCAGAGCATAAAACGGTCATGGCTGCATCAAGGTTACATAGCGCCAAAGTGTGTGCCAGGCGGGGGTATGGGGGGGGGGGCATGATGTCTTCGGGAACGTCCTCTTTTTTGAATGTTCAGATATGCCAATCCTATACTTAACCAATGCTACTAAAGGGCAAGCGTCGATATTGTCACTCTTTATTTTCAAATGACCTGCCTGCATTATTTTTATTACATCATAGCATAAAGCAACCAATAAACGAGATGACACGGCAAAAGATGTCATATTTTCCTACATTTTTAGGTGTCTAATTCAAATCACATACTGTACGTGTGTGGAAGTGAGAGGTCGTGTCTATTGCAGTCATTGTGTGAACTGAATTGAGTCGTGAACTTTTTTAACAGTGAGGGCCATTGATATCCACTGAAATATGACGAGTGATGACAACTGTGTTCAGATATAAGTGAAGGTGACTTTAAAATATCGAATGATGAAGGAAGTGATGGATGGGTTGGGGGAAATGAAACAAAGTGAGAGTGAAGATACTGAGGTTGGTCCAGAGACCCTCTGGGCACAACTATATGTCCAGGAAGACATTAGCTGAGGGTCAGTCTTCTACTTCTTGCACATAATGTAATGGATGAGCACTGTACTTTTTTCTTTTTTTTTTGTACGGGGATTAGCCCACTCGGGCACAGGTCACTGACCCACATTGGGGCCTGGGGAGCGAATATGTAATACCTGTACTATTAATATTAATAAATAATAATAATAATAATTCATAGTAAATAAAATTTATATAAAAAATAAAATAATAAAATAATAATAATAATAACTGTAGTAGTAGTAGTAGTAGTAATACTACTACTAATAATAAAGAACCATAAATACAAAAATGAAAAAAAGATCAAAAGTGAGAAACAATATACGTACAGTATGTATGTTGTGTTGTCAAAAGTAAGAAAAACAATTGAGACGCTGCAATTGTGTGTAAATGGGGTAGAAAGTCAGATCAGCAACCAGGGACTTGGTCACAATTTTCATGATGCCATATGGCAGCAGGGTCTACCATTAGACAACACATTATGCTTCCAATATCTTCCCAGGCTGCCTACTACCTACTTCTTTACATCTAATATATAACATATGGCTGGTACAGTGAACAGTGTGTGTATAATGCTTGTAAGTAGTCTGATGTGCTCTCATTCACCATGTCACTGTCACATAAAACTAATTATCAAAATTTTCTGAATTTTTTTTAGGGCTTTCTCAAATAAGTTATGCTACTAATTAGCATAAAGGCATTGGGAACAATACGTAAGTTTAAAGAACTGAGCAGCTCATAAGTAAAAAGTGACATGTACAAAAACTTTACGCTGATTCCTTACCCCCTTTTTTTTGTCATTCTATAGCTATTAAAAAATCAGTAATATACGTACTGTATTATTAATATACAACATCCATATATTATTAATATACAATATCCATATATTATTAATATACAATATCCATATACTGTATTATTAATATACAGTTCATCAAGGATTCCATTGGTACCAATTACCTGGATAATAAGTCAGGAATAAGCTGCATGTTGTTGCTGTTACAAAAGGCAGCGAACCCACTGCACTTCATGGGTTAATAAAGGTTGCTACAGTATGATGAAAATTCTCAGTTAAGTGATGTTGTAAGACGGCACTGAACTTCAGCCCTCTCCCCAGGCCAAGAGAAAAAGTAGTAAACACAAAGAGATGTATTTGATGTGTCACTCCAGCTATATGTTGAGACAAATGTGATACACCCCCTAGAGTTAAAGGGTTAACCAAGCACAATGTGCTATTCATAAATTTTTTGTATTTAAAAAAAAAGAGCTCCTTATTAATCCAGTACAGTACAGCATTCTAGTGAACATTTCTTGGTATCTTTAGTAGTTTTAGTTTGAGATTAAATACACCTTTTCTGGCAAATTATTTATACGAATGAATGATTTGATCTAAGTAAGGACTATATTAATTGTGCAAATGAAATCATGACACATGTGCAGTATTGTTTATAAAAGTAGCTTTTGGGGCTGTGACTGGCAAATAAGGTATCCTAGTGACAAAACTTAATGATGTCTTACACTTATTACTCTCAGAAATGTTGGGTGTTGCAATATTTTGTGCAACATGTTTGTTGGAGGCTGTTTGAAAGCAAAATGATGGTGGTTGTGTCACAAATGTGATCTGCTTCGAGATGAAGAGTTATCTCTCATGCTCACTTGGTCACACGACATTAACGCGCCTTTCTCCAATGTTCTTTCCAAATATAAATTGATTAAATACACAGTACATATGAGGCGCTCCGCGTCAAAAGGGGGTGAAGCAACACCCCGGCCAAAATGCATTTTTTTATGGATATCACTATTTTCACCCTTCCTCTACATGTTGGCGTTAGATGTAACCCTCTAGTTAGAATAGAAATATGGTAGAAAGTCCTTAAAAAATAAGGTGTGACTTCGCCTCAGGCCTGGAGCTACGTATCTGGCTGTGCGCTCAGTGCAAGAAAGTAGCAATATCCCGTTCAGAGCGAGAGGAGCGCGAGCCAATAACAGCGCGCCTCCCTTGGACCACACCCCCCGAGGAGCTGTGATGTCACAGCTCCTTGGCCAATCCACGTGCCCAGATGCTGCCTCCTCTTTAGTGTTGGCACGTATTGACACTAATGTATCACAACAAGAACATACAGACTGTGAGGAGGTAGAAGTGGACAGTGATGAGACATGCATTGACCTTGATAGTGATGAAAGTGAGCCTGACCCAATGAATGCTAGGGAAAGTGAGCTCATACCTCAGTCTTATAATGAAACTGAACTGTTGCCGGCATCAATAATTAATCAATGATTTAGTTGCTGAAGAATCTGTGTGGCGATTTTTAGAGAGGGCAGAGAAGACTTTGATCAGTACTGTACGTGATTGATTATGATGAGGCCATTAAAGTTATACTCACTCCTCAGGATTTACGTAACTTCAAGTTGCTACGATCTTCAGGGATAATAAAACGAGGAACTAAACAAAGTAAGATTGTAATACTATTGTCATATTACTGTTTTTACCAAAGATTGTGCAAACTTTCTCCGCCTTTGTATTCATATGTTAATCAGGAGGGGGGGGGGGATGAGTGTAGTGGTGTTTCCTTATTATTAAACACTTATAAATCTTTGGCTAATAATAGGGACGGAAAGATAAATACTGTACTGATAGGCAAATGAGTTTTTTATTATTATTGAATCTTTTGGGGTAAGACGAGTGCTGTTTTTTGTGATCATTAACTTGTTTTACAGTATTAGCCCACAATAATAAGAAATTTTGCAGAAAAATGCGATTATTGTTGGTTTGAAACTCAAACAGCTGTACATCGCGGGTAGTTATTCTCATTCATCTCGCAATAAAATAATAACTATTCACAGTACTAACTTCCAGTTCTCACAGTTTGCTAGGAGAGGGATTGAGCTGCACGATAAAAAAAAACCCCACTAGCTTAAAAAAAAAAGTTATGGTTGTTTAAACTTCGAAAAATTTCAAACGTGTTTTTCTCAGCTTTTTTAATTTGGCGCTTCACCCCCTTCTGATGCAGAGTGCCTCATATATAACCCTGGGTTATCTGAATCAATGTGGGGAAAGGGGGGTCCGGATTTACCAAAAGTTTGACTCTCGAAATGCAGTACAAGTGTAGCTATGTATATTAACGTATGTAAAAAAAACATAATAAATTTATTCAACCCAAAACAGTACTTACCATATTTCCCCCATATAAGACACTTCTTTATCCCAAAATTGTTCTCCAAATATCACCTGACATCTTATATGCCGAAGGTTAACCCTCTTGGGATGCAGTCACCAATACAGTACCCTGTACTGGACGAAAACCAAGACACCCCCATTTGACACACTGGTTCCCACATGACTCCAGAATGAAATACAGTACAGTAAAAAGTCCTAAAACCCAAGACCCTGGGAAGACTAAAAATATCTAAAGTAAGTGAAGATAATGGCAACACCTCGTCCTGTAGAGTAAAAGAATAGTAAAGAGCACGGAGAAAGAGAAGGAGGAGTAAGAGAAAGAGTATGAGTAAGAGTACATGTATGAAGAAAGGGTAGGAGAAAAAGAACCAATTTAAATATTTAAAAGAGATTAAAGGTTTGTAGACATTGAGCCCTTCACTATGGGGATGCCACTTTTAGTATTTTATTTAGCCAGATGATTTTCTTCAGCACAGAAGGGACCCCATACACAAGGGGTTAAGTGAAGTTAGAATTATCTCATAATCAAGGAGACCCACAACACTAAAAAAGACTCAAGACACCTACAACAGCAGGGTGGGTGTACCAGCATCAAAACATGTGAGTGATGCTTAAGTGATTCACCAAGCCATGTGATATACCAGTAATTCTGTCTTGATTGGCCCCCTTTGTTATCTGGTACTCATGTTGCTTAGATAGGTACAGTATTGGAGTTTTAATGTACAGAACCGGTAGCCTAATAGTCGCCTTAGATTGGAACTGGGATCTGCTAGTATCTTTGCTGAGCCATCAGTGATCTCAATCGAGGGAGTTTGGGTGCCTATTAAACATAGCTCTAAAACAGAATTGAGCTGCCTAACACTTACCTCTACAAAGTTCGATTTTCTGTTATCCCCCCCCACTTTTTCAGAACTGCGGCAGCCTTGGCCATGGCTATCTTGTGGTTCTCGAAATAAAGATAAGTATTTCAAAGCTACTCAAGTCGAACAATAGCCTGCATATCAGATGGTGACTATCCTTCACACAATGAGCTAACCAAATGCATTGCTGAAATTGTTATACTGGTAACAGTGGTGCTTACCTTTCTCTCCATTATTAGAGGAAAATGTTGCTCTAGTATGTATAGAAGACTTGCTGATATTGTTGCTATAGTTTTTGACAAAAGTTAAAGCCCACTTATGCTGTTCTTTTGCCTCAGTAACTGCAGATTGGGAAGCAGGAGCTAGTTCTCTGTAAAGGAAATAAGAAACAAGTGAATGCTTATGCCACTGGTAAATGTAGTGTAAACAACGCCATTTAATAATAATCAGTCTCATGTGCTGGTTTCCCATTTCTCAAATACAGAACTTGCAAAAAACTTAGCAGTGAATAGTGTAAACACAGAAGTTTGTGGAGACAATGAGAGCCAGGTCAGCTAACTGGCCCAACTAGCTGCTCCACAGACTCAACCTGCATTTATCTAAGCTAATGCAACTTATTGCAGCTGTTAAGTATTTCATAGCAGTATTTTTTTATAATTTTAGGCTTAATACAGTGTACTGTATAGGTTTAGCTTGGACTCATTGCATGATCACACAGCATTTATTCTGATGCAAAATGTAGTATTAATATCTAGACTTGGGCATGTGAACTATGACTAGCATGTTGGTCTTACCTTCTCAGTAATCAGAACTAATATGGGAGCACTGGAATACTTCATAGCAAAGGGTATACTCCTAATGTACAAATTTTAATGTTGATGTTTGAAGTACAGTGTGGCTCCATAACAAAAACGACTGAGGAGTTAGTTGCTTATTTGAAGAGATGAAGTCATACTGTAACTGTACAATACCTGTACAGTATTTATTTCCCTTGAACCTTTAACCCTTAAGCCCTGGGTTAGGGTATTGGTGGCAGTACCCCCACCCGGGGTTAAATCGAGAAAAATCAAATTTTCCAAAAATAATTTTTAACCCTTTAAAATGATAGAACAATAAAAAATAAGTAAGAAAAACTATATATTGACCCTTGAGAAATTTCTCTGGCCGCGCAGAGGGAGGTAGGAGGGGGAGAGATAAGGAGATAATGTTGGTTTGACAGCTGATGCTCGTGGTCCCTCGGCACTTAGCAGCTATTTTTAGCTCGCCGTTGTGTCCGAAGTGGCCAATAATAATGTAGGTATTTACTGATCTTAATAATTATTTGCTATAAATAATTCATTTAGAATATTTTATTTGCATAATTTTTCATAAAAAAGTGCAACAATCACCAGTCGGTTGCCAGTCTGCCTGGCTGTGTTTGTGTTTAGTAGAGCAAGTAATGCATAAAATAATAATAATTCCACAAATAAAAACATTTATACCATAATCATAGCATTGTTTTACAGTAATACTACCCTACAATACAACTACACAACTTTTATCAATATTACTTTGATACAACATGATGAAATCGACAATGAAAATGAAACAAACAAAAGTAGGTAATTATGTTCAGGAAGCTTCCCTGTCACCGAGTGTGTGGTGTGAGAGGCAAATAGTCACACTGGAACCTGATAACCCACGCTAGGCATTTAAACAGTGGCGGGAATAGGCACGCGTTCTGGAACGTCACCCGGGACCTAAGGGTTAAATAAACTCAAGTATTTATAAGTGACTAACTTCAATTTAGCAAAATACAAATTTTTTGATGACACAGTAGCACTGTACAGTAATCACTTTGCCCCATATTTTAATAGATATGAAGACTCTTGATGTGTGTCTCATGGTTCCTCCAGTGAGATGATATATTTGTTACTACAGTACTTTATAAGGACAAAACACGATTTATTTGGAGTCAATAATACTGTGGTTATTATAAATGTAAACCAAATAATATAGTAGTGTGGTTATTACAGTATATATGTAGAGTAAATGATAGTGTGGTTATTACATAAGAGGCAGCTTGTGGATCATGGGGCAAACTTGTGCTCCTTCATGTGGTATAATGTGCTACATTAAAAGCACCTTTCTTCCTGGGTGTACTGTGGTTTATTTTTCCATTGCATTTCGTGAGTGTTGGGTACAATTAACTCTTGCTTACTGTGAGGGAGAGCGTGACATCCAATGAGTGGGTGGCTGTGGGCCAATGAGTAATGCACCTCTACACGTAGCTATAGTTTTTCCATGTAACTCTCTCATGCCAGATGTGCTTAGCTATTTTTGCCTAGTTTCTCTCATCCTAATGAGTTCTAGCAGCAGTGAGAGTAGGGGAAGGGTGTGCACACTTGTAAGTGTGGGAAGCACTCTGATAAGTGGAAAAGAAAGCCGTGGCTAACAAGAAACAGATCTGCCTCATTGTGCCTTGTCTGAAAGGTTATTAGTCTGAAGGCTCTCAGTTTACTTGGATAATTAGATGACATAGTTCTGGAATCATCTTAGTCACTGCGTGTTGCACCTTTTCTAGGGATGTTTGATCTTTCTGGAGGTAGAGTTTCCATGCCTGTATACAGTAATCCTGACTGGGCTGTACATGAGCTTTGTACAGTTGTAGGAACAGTTTCCTGTCTTTGTGTTCAAAGGTGCACTTTATAATTCTCAAATCTAAGTTTACTGTTCTCACTTGTTGCATCATCTTCAGTGAATGTTAAAGAGCTACCGGGGTATTTACTCAAAACTAGCCTTTGGTGTGCTCGCTCTTTCTCTGCGAGATGCCTCATATGTAGGCCAAATGATACTGTGGCTATTATACATGTAGACTAAATGATAGTGTGGCTATTATACATGTAGACCAAATGATAGTGTGGCTATTATACATGTAAACCAAATGATAGTGTGGCTATTATACATGTAGACCAAATGATACTGTGGTTACTATACATGTAGACCAAATGATAGTGTGGCTATTATACATGTAGACCAAATGAGTGTGGCTATTATACATGCAGACCAAATGATAGTGTGGCTATTATACATGTAGACCAAATGATACTGTGGTTACTATACATGTAAACCAAATATTGACATTATCATATACCCAGCTGTACAGTATTATGAAAGTATAAATTTTAGTTTATTTTTTCATGCTGAATCAATGTTTTCTTTATAAATATATTGTAGTGAACTGATTAGTGTTTACTCTCTCTCCCTAACTGTACTGTATATCATAACATGTTAATAAAGACTGGTGCAAAAATAAAGAATACAGTAGTGTCAGATACAACATAGTACTGTATTATAAGAAAGGCCTGGGAATATCTAAATCATTCATTGTTGTTTGTATTACTGTTTCTATATGACATTAAGTACAGGTTGTACCTCTCTAGTCCGGCAACCTCGGGACCTGACCGGTGCCGGACCATGGAAATTCACCCTTTTCCTGGATAGATAGTGACTTGTGCTTATGCCTGGAAGCACTAGTACCACTTTCTCTGCATCATGGTCTCTTTGAAGACACATTGAAGGGTTAAATGTCGTATAGTAGCTTCTCAAATTTCGCGAGTTTTTAATTCTTAACGTATTTTATTGGAACACACAAAAAAATAAATAAATAAAAATTTTGACGGCGGAAACTTGAATTTCGACGGGTTTGAACGGCCCGCCAACGTGCAGACGACGTGCATAATCGTGTAAACAGCGTCATTTCTCTTATGTACAAAAGATTCATTATTGTTTATTACTGAATGTCTTTTTTATTGAATTAATGTTTATGTGTGCAAAATGAGCAATACAATTCATTAATAATACGTAGAATATTAAAACACACGAGGAAATGACACAGCATTGTATTCGTTGATTACAAAACCAGTGACTGACTGGTTCTACATATAAAACTGAAGAAAATAAGACCTTGGTTGTAGCTGTAGTAAAATTAATATGGTTGTTTTAAGTAATGTTATTTAATGTTAATAAATGGAACAATAGAAGTAGCTAACGATAATGGTAAAGAAAAAAGAGAGATCGCATATGTAAGTGCGCATGCGCACACGTGAAAACATATCATCATTACTTTACATAAGAATATGAAAGCAACACTTATTTACTGTTCATATATATTTTAATTAATGTTTCTGAATTTGTTTTTATTGAATTAATGTACGTGTGTGCAAAATTAACAATACAATTTATTAATAATACGTGGAATATTAGAGGAGACGAGACGGCTGCCGGCATTGTTTATGTTAAAGCTTACGAAACCAGTGACTGATTGGTTCTACATATAAAACTGAAGAAAATAAGACCCTGAGTTTAGCTGTAGTAAAATTAATGTAAAAAATGAATATGGTTGCTTGAAGTACCTGTAATGTTATTTAATGTTAATAAATGGAACAATATAAGTAGCTAACCATTAATGGTAAAAAAAAAGTGAGACTGCGCGTATGTAAGTGCGCACATGTGAAAATATATCGTCATTACTCTACATAAGAATATGAAAGCAACACTTATTTACTGCTCATATATATTGAAGGGTTAAATGTTGTACTCTGTATAGACAAGCAGAGAGAGAGAGAGAGCAGCCGAACTGCCGGATGTAAACAAACCTTAATTTCCCGCGGCTTTGTTTTTTAAGGGGATTAGCCCACCCGGGCATAGGTCACTGACCCACATTGGGGCCTGAGGGGCAAAAATTTAATACTCCTGTAATAATAATAATAATTCAGATAAGTAAAAAAAAAAAAAAAAAAAGCTGCCTATCTACCTATTGGACAAACTAAAATCGTTCCGGACCACAGAATGCCGGACTAGAGAGGTACAACCTGTATTATAACTGTTAATATAATACCACTAGATACTGTACCATGAATATTTATACTTTACTGTTATATGAATGCCATTAGATACTGTGGATGTACAGTTGGCCACAGGAATTAGTATACACACTGTAGCTGTAAGGTCCGAAAATGGTCTGGTAACGTTGAAACTGCGCATCCAGACTCATGATGAAAATCAGCTCCTCCCACCTATTATCTCTAACTATTTTCTGTTTCCCCTGCTTTATTCTTCTATTTACTTCTCTTCCTTCCTTTACTAATCCAAACATCAGTATAAAAAAGTAGGGCAAGAGAAAAATGGGGGAGGAGGCGGGAGCTGTACGATGACTGCAATCCCATTCGGCAACAAGTTTACTACCATTTGATACAATATATTAGTTGTAACATAAACACAAGACACTAGTAAAACATTCATAACAAATGTATTTATAACATATATAAGGAATAAAACATAAATTACAAGTCATTTTGTAATTGTGTCTGTTCAGGACAGTGTTACCAGATATTTTGTCTCAAACACGAACCGTAGGTGCATACTTATTCTTGTGGCCGACTGTACATTATTATCTAAGATAATATATTGTTTGTTACTGGAGCAGGGGGTTGAGAGTACAGCTGCTACTTAAACATGGGTACCTTCTTACTAGGATTGTTTGTAGTAAGCTTACATGTGTATGGCTGTAGCAGACAATGGAAATACTGTAAATGGATCTGAGAATAATCAAGATGTTGTTTGCAGGTCAGGTATGTCCCAGACTTACCCCCTTCCCCAGCAAACTGTATCTGCATTAGACTGGGGATGGTTAGGATTAGCGGTAGCTGTAATCTTATTGGTTTGGTTGTGGCTTTTTAGGACTGGGACTCCTTTGATTAGTCACCCCAAGTTGTCAACACAGATAGTACTCTCAGTCAAGAGCATATATTTAGTACAGATTGAATTAAGAGGAAACTTTTGTTCAGTTGCTATGAAATTGATTGAAATGGACTTAATGGATTTTATATTGCAATATCTAACACTAACTTAAAATTATTTCTTTTTACTATGTACCATACTCTATATATTGTCATTACTTCTTCCTTTCTATATGACCCAATCAGATACAGTATATACATGGCTTTAAATCATCCCTGAACTTCCTACACACAATCACTGTGGTAGGGATATCTTAAGTTGGAACAGTGGTAATGAGCACATTTCTCACCAATGTGTCAAGGGTTTCAGTCCTGCTTGGCCCAGACACACGAGAAGGGTGTTATCCAATGTGACCCTACCAAACATCACAGGAATCCTCCTGTACTAACACTGGATAGACCAACTACACGAACGGCTAGTAAGCTGATAAGTGGTTATATGACAAATTATGTTCTAGCTAGCTGTAGGTAAATGATGCCGTACGTTACAAAGAGAGAGAGCTAAATTTTGGTGGTTCAGACTCAGATCTTGTAGCTTTACTGTCACTGATGGGGAACATTATCATAATTCTTCATCATGAGTTTCAGAACATGAAGCACGGTGAGTGTAATGTGCCTTTTTTCTTTGATTGTATGTAATATTTATGAGTTACGGGACCTCCTCCACCCCAACAGTACCTAGAGCTTGCCATAAATTCATTTGATTTCTGACCTTGATTCCTGTAATCTCTTTTCTGTATATATATTCTG